ACTTTGTCCATATCCAATCAATTTTCTATACCATTACCACAGTGATGTGATTATTCTATCACTTCTACTTAAAAACCTTCAACTACACATCTACAATACAAATTAGTTATTAAGATAGAACAGTCTCTTCATGTTCTAGTCCCTTCCAACCATAAGTCTCATTTCTCACTTTACCCCTCTTTATTTCCTATACAGCAGTGATATTAAATTGCTTTCACTTTCCTGGAATGTTCCGTGAACATATATAGCTTTGCTTATGGTATCCCTGCCTGGTATGCGCTTATCAACCTGGAGAACACCACATCTTTTTAGATCTGGCTTAAGCATTCACCACTTTAAGAAGCTTTCTCTGGCTCTCCAAGAGAGGACTGACATTTGTGTCTCACGATGTTCTACGCAAACATGTATCATATCACCTATATCACTCTATGTTCCTTACTCGTGTACATTTCTAGCTATTAAAGTCCTTGAGCATAGATGCTGTACCTTACTCACCTTTATATTTCCACTGACTAGCAATCTAGCACACAGTACACAATCAAAAAATATCAGTAGAATGAAAGAATGATTACTGATATGTACATTTCTTTGTCATTTCTCCTACTGCACAAATCACGAAAAGGATGACACTTTCTAAACAATACTATTCTATCAAACAAGCAAATAGGTAACACATTTACGGTACATGTGAGACATACAGGTCAATTCGAGAATGTGACAAGAACTATATTTGAAACCAGAAATGACAGAAGTTGTTTAAAAAGTATACCTTCCTGGAAGCCTCTAAAATACCCATTCGCTACACATTTCCTTATATCTGTATACAAGAACATCAATAGAACACCCATATGCTACTTTCTCAGTCTTAGCTGGTGCATTTAGATTCCTATTTCAGCAAAACATTTATTTTTAGGATGGATTATAGTGACATGACTAATCAAGCACCAAAAACTTATAAACATCTCTATTTATGTTAAGAACAAGATAATTCATCAGGTATAATAATTCCATAATTTTTTTCTTGCCAAAGAAGAGGACAATTATTTTATAATATATTTACTGACTTCCATTATCACTATTTAGAATCAGTTATGCCTGCCCCCAAGAGTAGGATTACACAAAACAGTTTTCAGTAACACAAAGAGAAGTCTTTAAACTCATTCTTTTCTTTTTTAATTTTTAATATTATTTTATTGAGGTCATAGTGGCTCATAACGTGTAAATTTCAGGTGTACATCACTATCTATCAGTTTCTATACAGACTGCGTCGTGTTCACCACCAGCAGTCTAGTTTTTATCCATTACCATACATACGTGGGCCTTTACGCTTTTCGCCCTGCCTCCACTCCCCCCCCCCCCCTTAAACACTAATCTGTTCTCCTTATCCACGTGTTTGTTTACCTTCCACATGTGAGTGAAATCATATGGTGTTTGTCTTTCTCTGTCTGGCTTACTTCACTTAGCATAATACCCTCAAGGTCCATCCATGTTGTTGCAAATGGCACGATTTTGTCTTTTTTATGGCTGAGTAGCATTCCATTGTATATATATATCACATCTTCCTTATCGATTCATCCGTTGATGGGCACTTGGGCTCCTTCCATGTCTTGGCTGTTGTGACTAATGCTGCAATGAACACAGGGATGCATAAATCTCTTTGAATTGTTGATTTCATGTTCTTTGGATAAATATCCAGTAGTGGGATAGCTGGATCCTATGATGTTTCTATTTTTAAATTTTTGAGAAATCTTCATACTGTTTTCCATAGTATTTGCACCAGTATGCATTCCTACTAGCAGTGTATTAGGATTCCCTTTTCTCCACATCCTCTCCAACCCTTGTTATTTCTTCTATTGTTAATTATAGCCATTCTGATGGGTGTGAGGTGATATCTCATTATAGTTTTGATTTGCATTTCCCTAAAAATTAGTGACATTGAACATCTTTTCATGGGCCTGTTGGCCATCTGTATATCTTCTTTGGAAAAATGTCTATTCATATTCTCTGCCCATCTTTTGATTGGGTTGTTCATTTTTTTGTTGTTGAGTTGTATGAGTTCTTTATATATTTTGGAAATTAACCCCTTGTCTGATATATGATTTGCAAATATCTTCTCCCACTTGGTAGGTTGTCTTTTCCTTTTGTTCATGGTTTCCTTTGCCTTGTAGAAAGCTTTTTCGTTTGAGGTAGCCCCATTTGTTAATTTTTTCTTTTGTTTTCCTTGCCTGAGTAGACATGGTATTTGAAAATATACTGCTAAGACCAGTGTCAAAGAGTGTACTGCCTATATTTTCTTCTAGGAGTTTTATGGTTTCAGGTCTTACATTCAAGTCTTTAATCCACTGAGTTAATTTTTGTGTATGGTGTAAGATAATGGTCTACTTTCATTCTTTTGCATGTGGCTGTCCAGTACTCCCAACACCACCTATTGACTATCCTTTCTCTCCGATATGTTCATGGCTCCTTTGTTGAAGATTAGCTGTCCATAGACGTGTGTTTTACTTCTGAGCTTTCAATTCTGTTCCATTGATCTGTGTGTCTGTTTTCCTGCCAGTAGCATGCTGTTTTGATTACTATAGCTTTGTAATATATTTTGAACTCAGGGATTGTGATACCTCTAGTTTTGTTCTTCTTTGTCAGGATTGCTTTGGCTATTGGTTGTCTTTTGTTGTTCCATATACATTTTAGGATTCTTTGTTCCATTTCCATGAAGAATGCCACTGGGACTCTGACTGGGATTGCACTGAATCTGTAGAATGCTGTAGGTAATATGGACACTAACTATGTTTATTCTTCCAGTCCATGAGCACAGAATATCTTTCCATTTCTTTATGTCTTCTTCAATTTCTTTCAATAATGTCTTATAGTTTTCAGTGTATAGGTCTTTCACTTCCTTGGTTAAATGTATTCCTAAATATTTTATTCTTTTTGTTGCGACTATAAATGGGATTGTATTCTTGACTTCTCTGTTAGTTCATTATTAGCATACAGAAATGCAATTGATTTTTGTATGTTGATTTTGTACCCTGCAACTTTGCTGTAGTTGTTGATTATTTCTAATAGTTTTCTGGTGGATTTTTTAGGGTTTTCTATATATACAATCACGTCAACCGCAAACAGTGAGAGTTTTACTTCTTCCTTTCCAATCTGCCTCCCTTTTATTTCTTTTTCTTGCCTAATTGCTCTGGCCAAAACTTCCAGTACTATGTCAAAGAAGAGCGGCGAGAGTGGGCACCCTTGTCCTGTTCTTGTTCTCAGGGGGATGACTTTCAGTTTTTCAGCGTTAAGTATAATGTTGGCTGTGGGTTTGTTGTATGTGGCCTTTATTATGTTGAGGTACTTTCCTTCTATACCCATGTTATTGAGAGGTTTTATCATAAATGCATGTTGGATCTTGTCATGTTTCCTGTGCATCTATTGAGATGATCATGTGGTTTTTATTCCTCATTTTGTTAACATGGTGTATCAGATTGAATTGATTTGTAGATGTTGACCCATTCCTGCAATTCTGGAATAAATCCTACTTGATCATGGTGTATGATCCTTTTCATGTATTGTGGTATCCGATCTGCTAATATTTTGTTGAGGATTGTTGCATCTATGTTTCATCAGCGATACTGGCCTGTAATTTACCTTTTTTGTGTTGTACTTCTCTGGTTTTGGTATCAGGGTAGTGTTGGCCTCGCAGAATGAGTTAGGAAGCATTCTGTCTTCTCCAATATTTCAGGATAGTTTGAGAAGGATAGGTATTAAATCTTCTTTGGATGTTTGGTAGAACTCACCAGAGAAGCCATCTGGTCCTGGACTTCTGTGTTTTAGGAGGTTTTTGATTACTGTTTCAATCTCTTTACTTGTGACTGGTCTATTCCGATTCTCTATTTCTTCTTGATTCAGCTTTGGGAGGTTGTATAATTCTAAGAATTTACCCATTTCTTCTAGGTTATCCAGTTTGTTGGCATATAGCTTCTCATTGCATTCTCTTATAATCCATTGTATTTCTGTGGTATACATTGTAATTTCTCCTCTTTCGTTTCTAATTTTATTTATTTGAGTCTTCTTTTTTTTTAGTGAGTCTGGCTAAGGGTTTGTCAATTTTGTTTATCTTCTCAAAGAACCAGCTTAGTCTCACTCATCCTTTCTATGGTTTTTTAGTTTCTACTTCATTTATTTCTGCTCTGATTTTTATTATTTCCCTCCTTCTACTGACTTTGGGCTTTGTTTGTTCTTGTTTTTCTAGTTCTTCTCGGTGTAGTTTAAGATTACTTATTTGAGATTTTTTTTTTGTTTGCTGAGGTAGGCCTGTATTGCTATAAATTTCCCCCTTAGTACCACTTTTGCTGCATCCCATAAGAGTTGGTATGTTGTGTTTTCTTTTTCCTTTGTCTCCAGCTATTTTTTGATTTCTCCTTTGATTTCTTCATTGGTCCAATGGTTGTCCAGTAGCATGCTGTTTAGTCTCCACATATTTGTGACTTTCCCAGCTTTTTTCTTGTAGTTGACTTCTACTTTTATAGCATTGTGGTTGGAAAAGATGCTTGATATGATTTCAATCTTCTTAAATTTATTAAAGGTTGCCTTGTTTCCCAACATACACATGGTCTATCTTTGAGAATGTTCCATACGCACTAGAGAAGAATGTGTATTCTGTTTTTGGATGGAATGTTCTATATATGTGTATATCTATTAAGTTCACCTGGTCCAGTGTTTCATTTAAGGCTACTGTTTCCTTGTTGACTCTCTGTCTGATCTACCCATTGATGTAAATGGGGTGTTGAGATCCCCTACTATTACTGCATTGCTGTCAATTTCTTCCTTTAGGTCTCTTAGTTGCTTTATATACTTTGGTCTTCTTGGTGGAGTGTCCCTTTTATCACTATATAATGCCCTTCTTTGTCGCTCATTATCTTTTTTATCTTGAAGTCTGCTTTGTCTAAGTATGGCCATATCCGCTTTCTTTTTCTTGCCATTTGCTTAGAGTTTCATCCCTTTATTCTGAGCCTAGGTTTATCTTGAGAGTTGAGATGTGTTTCCTGGAGGCAGCATATTGTTGGGTCATGTTTTTTAATCTATCCAGCCACTCTGTGTTTCCTGATTGGTGAATTCAGTCCATTTACATTTAGACTGATTACTAATACATGAGGGCTTAACACTGTCATTTTATCTCTTGTTTTCCAGTTGTTTTATATTTCCATTGTTTCCTTTCCCTTGTATTTCTGACTGCTATTTCAGTTTGATGGTTTTCTCAATTTTCTCTTTATTCATGATTAGTGACTCTGCTCTGATTTTTTGTATTGTGGTTACCATGAGGTTTTTATAAAAGATCTCAGATGAGACAGTCCATTTTCTGATAGCCTTTTACCTCTATTAGCCTAAGCAGGGTCCATCCCTTTCTGCTTCCCCTTCTATGTTTTTCTTGCCACAAATTATTCTTTTTTGTGATGTGAGTTTGTGACTAAATTCAAGTGTTTACATTGTTTTTGATGCTTTCTTTCCCTTTATTTTTTGTTATAATTAAGTGTTTGTGGCCTATTCTGATAAACAGCTGCAATTTCCTGATTTTTTCTATTTATCTCCTTGTTCAAAGCTTTGTAAACCTTTGTCTTTTGTTTCAGGAAGGAGGGCTCCCATCATCGCTTGTAAGGCAAGTCTAGTGGCGATGAACTCCCTCAGCTTTTGTTTCAACTTTTATTTCTCCACTATATCTGAAGGATAATTTTGCTGGATAGAGTATTCTTGGCTGAAAGTTTTTGTCTGTCAGTATTTTGAATATTTCATTCCATTCTCTCCTAGCCTGTAAGGTTCTGCTGAAAAATCCCCTGAAAGCCTGATGGGGGTTCCTTTGTAGGTTATTTTCTTTTCTCTTGCTGCCCTTAATATTTTTTGTCACTGACTTTTGACAGTTTTACTATTATCTGCCTCGAAGTAGGTCTTTTTGCATTACAGTAATGAGAAGTTCTATTGGCTTCCTGTACTTGTATGTCCAGTTCCTTCCTCAGGTTTGGGAAGTTCTCAGCTAGTATTTCTTTGAACAAGCTCTCTGTTCCTTCCCCCCCCCCCCAGTTCTTCCTCTAGAATACCTATAATCCTTATGTTAGTTTTCCTAATTGAGTCAGATATTTCTTGAAGAAAAAATTTCTTCATTTTTTTTGTCTTAGTTGTCTCTCCTCCTCCACCTGAAGCATTTCTAGGTTTCTATCTTTGAGATCACTGATTCTCTGCTCCATAAGGTCTCTTCTATTTTTTATACTTTCCACATTATTTTTTATCTCATTAATTTGTGATCTTCACATCCAGAATTTCTCTTTGGTTTTTTTTTTAGAGCTTCAATCTCTTTGGTGAAATATTCCTTCTGTTCATTAATTTTATTCTTGACCTAACTGAACTGTCTGAGTTTTCTCGTAACTCATTAAGTTTCTTTATGATAGCTAGTTTGAATTCTCTGTCAGTTAAATAGTAGTCTTCTGTGACTTCAGGTTTCATTTCTGGAGAGGTGTCATCTTCCTTCTGCTCTGCAGTGTTACCATAGTTCTTCATGGTGTCTGATGAATTGATCCTTTGCCAGAGTATTTGTGGTAGTAATCACCTTTTCCTACTTGGGTATAGCTTTGGTTACTCTGGTTGTGGTCACCTGTGTCTTGTGCTCCTCTACTGGCTTTCTGTGGGCTTGGATGCTGCTGTCCCATGCAGCACCTGCACTGCTGCTCCCAGGTTGTCTTGGAGTGCTGGTTGCACCACTGCCAGGGGTGCGGGGTTCATGGGTGCCATTGTCACTCGCAGGGCCCTGGGAACCTGGGGACTTGTATACAGCACCCACTGCTGGTGGAGCTGGTGTTACGGTTGCCGCCACTGGGGGCTGGGTCACTGGTTCTGCTGTGGGTCCTGTTGCTTCTGGTTACAGATTCCCCCTGCCACTATTGTAGAGAGCAGGGGCTGTTTTTTCTGTTCCTGCCCTATCTGCTCATAGTCGTGCCAGTCAGCTGCTCCAGGTTACTGGCACTCTGCAAGTGTTGTGTGCAGGCCGGGCTGCCTCCACATCCACTCACAGTCGCGTTGGCTGCTATGTGAGATCCGAGTCCTAGATCACTGCTGCCAGGGAAGGAGAGGGGGCAGCTCCCCTACTTCCACTGCTTCCTGGGGGTCCAGTCCACCCACCTTCAGATGTATAGCTGCATGGATCTCTCAGGTGTCCAGCTGTGCTGTGTAGGGAATCCTCTCTTGCTTAACGGATGTCTATTTTGTTGGAAGTTAGAGGGGAGAGACAAAGGGAACAACTCACTCCGCCATGATACTGACATCACTTCAAACTAATTCTTAAAGTAGGCCATTGTAACCACTTTAACTTAGAATACTTCTGGGTTATTTTCAAAGCTAATGCTTTGAATCATTATGAAAAACTTTAAGGTCAATAATATTTTTAAATCAGTAGCTGAAGGGAACCAGGATTGAACTTAGCACATTGAATTAAGTGATTTCATGGTTTAATACCTTTCTCAATATTCTCCATCTTATCTGTAAAATGGTTACAAATACATGGGAACTTTAGAAGGCTTGTTTTAGCAAAATGTTTTGGGGAAGAATACAGTTAGGGTATTTTTTTTTAAAGTCTTTAAAACACTACTTCTTATCAGTAAAATTCTGAATTTTTTTTATGAGTTGACTGCTTCCTCTCACTTACTTGGGTAAGAGAACAGAACATATCATAGGCTCATAGCATGAACAGTAAGTAATCTTGAATACTTTAATGTATGCATTTGCATTCACACACCTGGGTGAGTGAGGATCTAGCTTATTTTTACAGCCACCCAGGAAAGCAATTCTATAACCCATGTTCCACTTCTGCTTCCAATCTCTTTAGTTCAGTGGCAAGTTCTTCTTATTCTAGAGTAGCACTGTCCAGTAGAAATTTCCATGATGAAGGGAATATTTTATATTTGCACTATGCATTACAGTAGTCACTAGCCACATGTCACTACTGAGCACTTGAAATGTGGTCAGCATGACTCAAGAACTTAATCTTAATTAAATTTAATTTGAATTTAAATAGTAACATGTGGCTAGTGGTTACCATTTTGGACAGTGCAGTAGAGATCCCAGAATGCCACAGTCAACAAAATGTATCAAGTCTGATCTGGTCATCCTGTCAAACTGAGCTTGGGTTAGAACCATACTGGGTCAAACTCCTTCCCCACTCAAAAGTCAGGCAATAGATCTGAAGGGACATACCCCCGGAGTCTGTAAATTTTTTCTGTAAAGGGCCAGAGAGTAAATATTTCAGGCTCTGTGGGCCCGTAGGCCAAAAGATCTCTGTTGCAACTACTGAACCCTGCTATTGTAGCACAAACGTTGCCACAGACAATTTGTAAAGGAACTCGTGTGGCTGTGTTCCAGTAAAGCTTTTATTTACAAACACTGAAATTAGAATTTTACATAATTATCATGTGTCCTGGAATACTATTCTCTTCGATTTTTTTCAACTATTTAAAAATGTAAAAACTGTTCTTAGTTCTCAGGCCATACAAAAACAGGCCATGGGGGAAAAACCACCAGCCTGGTTTGCAAATCTCTGAAATATACAAAAGGTCAGTGAGCACAAGAAGAGATACCACCATTAACCATCAAGGAAATGCAAACTACAACCACACTACGATCCCACTAGAACAGCGATACCAAAGATTAGTGAAGATATGCAGCACCTGGAACTCTTATTACACTGCTGGTGAGACAGTAAAATGGTACCACCACTTTGGAAAACCGACTCTTTTTCTTAAAAAGTTAAAATATACCATAGGACTCAGTACATCTAGGTACTTAACTCAAGAGAAATGAAAATTTATGGCCACACAAAGACATGCATATGAATACTCACAGTCCCTTTATTCACAATGACTAAAATCTAAAAACAACTCAAATACCCTCAAGGGACAAATGGATACATAAAATGTGGAATGGAATACTACTAAGCAATAAAAAGTAACCACTACTGATACTATTCAACATCCTGAATGAATCTCAAAATGACTGTTGAGTGAAAGAAGTCAAAAACAAAAGACTACACAGTAAGTTCATTACATAAAATTCCAGGAAATGCAAGCTAATTTATAGTGACAGAAAGCACATCAGGGTTGCCTGGGGCTGAGGGCTAAGGGAATGAGACTACAGAGTTAGGAGGAAACGTTCTGTATTTTGATAGAGGTGGAGTCACAGATGTATACTTGTCAAACTGTATGCTTTAGATGGGTGCAATTTACTGTACACCTAAAGATGATTTAAAGAAAGACTTGATTCCATTGGCATCAGAAGTACCCACAGTAATCTCCATGAACTGAAGCAAGTGCTGTTTAAATTTGAGGAGATGGGTAAGGGAGGGACAGATAAGAAGTTAGTGTGATGTCTCACACCATCACTGCCGATGGGAAATGTGCCTCTGGGACCTCTAGGGCACAGTAATAGTAACCCAAATCAAAGAGCTTTGAATAGACAAGTTTTAGGAATTCTGTGAATTGAAACTTCCTGTTCACAATATTCTGATCTCCCTATTTGGAACGTGGATTTTAAGTTAGACTAAAATGTACAATTCCAAGAATTAGTAAATAATCCTTTACATTATAACAAGTTTTCATTTGTAACACTTTGAGATAATGTCCTTATTTTAAATATACCCTGTTGCTCAGGTTAAATTTGTTCAAAAACATTTTGTTATAAGTCTTATGAAGGCTTGAAGAAACTTGCTCAGCTATGGAACATTACCAGTTCAAAATATTAAGAGTAAGGGAAAACAGGTCCCATTTTCCAATAAGTTTTAATTATTCTTTTAAAGTCTTGGGCATGCCCGAAACCAGTTTTTGAAGACCTTACAAGGATTCCTCAAATGGGTCAATGCAAGCTGACCATGAAAAAAAAAATCGTCCACTAACACAAAACAAATAATAGTCTAAATAATTTGTGGCTATATATTGGGCAAAACAAGCATGAATTTTTTTCAATCAAGTACAGATACATGAAATACACATCTGGCTTCCCAGATTCTTTTCCAGGTAAACTATATGTTATAGGTTCCTCAAGTTAAATTAAATTTCATGCTTGACTTGAGACTATGTCCTTTTCAGAGAGAGAAATAAAACACCAAAACTTAGGAGTCAGTGGAGGTGAATGAATTGAGAAAAAAATCTTTAAAAAAACCCTGCTTTTCCTTTCTCTATCCTTAAATACACCCCTTTTAACCATACAATAGACTCAAACTTTAGGGCAAATGTCCAGCATAATTCTCAATTCTTTCTGAGACACACTTCAAATATCATAATTTCTTATCAAAGTACAAATGAGCTCAGCATTTGTGTCCAACACAAGTTCATACACTTAAAAATTAAAAGGCCACCACAGCTATAAGATCACAACTTTCTGAAGTAGCACAAAGGATATTTCATTAATCTAATTGTTCTCAGAGGTATTTATAGGAAAGTATTTTGATTATTTTCCAGGGACTTTTAAGTGAGAATCATTTTTCAGTCTACCAGCATCAACCTCTAACAATGTCAGTTTCTTGTCCCATAAGAAATTTCTTTCACTGCTTATTGTCCAAATAAGAGACCTCTTTACTTATTATTTGGGGCATAACAGAGCTCAATTTGTGAGAAGTGCTACAGATTATTAGATCCTAAAAGAAAACTCTGGAAGTTTAAGAAATTGGGAGGTGGGTAGAGGAAGGCACACTTAGAGAGATGAAATGGAAATATTAGTATGAGCACAAATATTTTTAGGAAGATGTACGATAACATACATATGAATTGAGAACACAGTGGTTTATTTGGGAGAGTGGTAAAGATGACAACTGGAAATCCCAGCCAGAATGCTGGAAGTATAAGGGACTTAACAGATCACCTAATCTAGGCTCAAAGAGACTAAATGAGTTGCCCAATTAAATGGCATGATACATATAAAAGGGCTTAGCATGGTGCCTGGCTAACAGATGATGGATAAATGTTGGTATCTCCCTTTCCCCTACCCCCAACCAAGGTCCCATGCCAGTAAGTTTTACAATAACCACCACCACAATCATCACCTAAATCTTCCAACAGTTCTCCAGTCTTCCAGAGACACCAGGACCTTTCAACAGCCTATTTCAAGGAAAATTCCATTACTATTATCTCAATAATACCTGCCTTATAGAGTTACCATGAGCATTAAACAAGATCATGTAAATTGACAAGCAGCAAAGTCCAAGAAATGCTGGCATGAAGTTTCCAATTCTGCCTTCTTTCAAACACATCCTTTCCATTTATGGTACTGGGTGAGTGCTTGCGTGCGTGCGTGTGTGTGTGTGTATGTCTTTGTGTGCGTGCTCACGTGTATGAAGAGGGTGAACAGCCAGGGATGCAAACATCAGACATAGTTAGGACCCAGTTTTTGACAATTCCTCTTCTTTCCCCAAGATTTTGATATGCCCCCTGGGTACCAATCTCATTCAATTGAGAACTCCCTGCTGTAGAGTCAGTATAAATGTGAGGCTTGAACTCAGATGTACTGGAATGGGGAAAAAGGTAACAGGAGTAATAGCCCTCTCATTCAGGGACATGTTGACAAAACCATAGTCTCATTACAAATTCACAACTCAATAACCCAGGCTTGCTATTATCTCCCCAATTAAAACGCAAGGTCCCTGAAAATGGGACATCACATCTTATACCTCCTTCCACGTGTCTGCATAGCACTAAAAACAAGACATTAGTAGATGCGTAATAGTTGCTATTAATCATCCTCAAGAATTCAATATTTAAAAATTCAGTCCGCATAACCCCCCAGGAACACATACTGCAACCCCGAACTAGCCTTTCACGTATGTCAAAAGAGACATCTGTAAATCAGTTTCTCAATAAAATGTAGTGAGCATTTTCATCTAAAAAGGAATATATCTTTAAACTCTAGTTCTAAAGTTCATGAATGGCCTGAAATTGTAGGCAAATTTTTGTGTAGGCACACTTTTCCTCCCTGGAGAGCACAAAGCTTCCATCACATTCTAAAAAAAAAAAACAAAAACCAAACAAACTCCCCTAAAACCTGAAGAACCACTGCTCTACACCGCTTCTCCCCCTGGCTTTGAAGTTCAAGCTCTCACAGGTAGGCCTTCCTCAGCTTGACTTGTAAAAGCATATTTAAAAATCAAATGACAGGATAGTAGTTACCCTTACGAGGAAGGATATATGAGTAGTTGTTGAGGGGGACATTAGAGGGATTTTTGAGGCACTGATAATATTGTGGATTTGGATGCTGGTTACAAAAGAGTGTTCACTTTGTGAAAATTCATCATGCTGAACACATGATTCTTGTATCTGTCTGAAAGTATATTTCAATAAGAGACTTAAAAAAAACACAAATCAGTAAAAAGATGGGTCAGTTTTACAAAGCAGACATCATGTGTAACGTAAAAAAGAAGTCCTTAAAAATTAAGTACTAGGAGAGGCCCATGTGGTGAAGATCTGAAACCTCTGGACAATGTCACAGAGGCACTGAGGCCCTCAGTCCAACAACCTACAAGTAACTAACTGAGGCTTGCCAATGACCATGTGAGTAAGCCTGGAAGCAGAATCTCCATTCTCAGTCAAGCTGAGACTGACGGCAGCCCCAGCTCACAGTGGCTGTGAATGAAAGAGTCTGCACTAGAACCGTCTAGGTAAGTCACTCCCAGATTCCTGACTCTGAGAAATCCTGCGAGATAACACGTTTGGTGTTTTAAAAAAATGATGCAACTTCTAAACACTCCCTTCCTTACATGTATTGAAGTGAGCAAAAAAGCCTCAGTAGCTATACCTGCAGAGACATTAGCTTACTGGTTTAAACTGGCAACTTTCTCTTCTCGAAAAGCTGTAGTACAATATTGCTCTCAAAACTCAACCAAGAAAAAAGAAAATACAGCTGGTGATTATGAACATGATTGCTGGATCAAATGGAAGTTAATTTCCCTGTAAGATACAGAAGAGGGATCTTCTCAATGCTTCTCTCTCCTACCTCCATCTAAATTAGAGATTCCATTACAGTACCATGTTTTTGTGTTTCATTGCATAAGTGTCTGAATGATACCACATGCATATACACACCCTTTAATTTTTCTGAAGGTTTTCTCACAGGAAATATACTAAAGTCAGAGTTATCAAGTAAATATAAATGTGTTCTTTTAAAATACAGTCGTATTTGTATAAACCTACAAAAGAGGTAGATGGGGGGATGTAGCTATTCCAGTTTCATCCAACACAAATGTAGCATGTTTTGAAATCAATGTATTAGTTCTTCAATCTGTCTGTACTTCTGAAGCTGCCCAAAGAGAGTACCAGAATTTGAGCCTTCAGCAGGGTCTTTCAACACGGAGTCCTCTGCAGTGCCCAGCACAGCAAAGGGCCTTGCACACACTAAGCATTATGGTATTAGTTTAACTGAAAAAAAGTTACAAAAGTTACTGTTTTTTTCCATTTAAAATTCTTAACAGTTGTACAGAACTCCTTTCTCAAAATGGACTACCTATAACTACTATCATTTCCTTGCATATTTTTAAAAACTGAAAAGACCTCTATTAATTTTGCTATAATCAGGCTAACCTTTTCGTACTCTGTTAAATTTTAACCTGCCAGTTGTAATGATTCTTCAGGACTCCCTAGAGTTACACTGGTGGTCAATATTTAATTACTGCACCTTAAATTTAAAACAAAAGATGACTATTTGAAAATAGTATTTTCTGTTATTACATAGAAATAATGCAGAGCCTAGTAAATAATACTTTAAGATCTGTATAAGGCCCAGCATAACAACATAATAAATCCAACAAAACCCCAGAATTATCCTTCAGTTATATTATTTACATTATAATTATTATATATTTAATATATTTACATATACTTATATATTATGTATTTAATATATATTTATAGTATTATATATTCTTTCCTTTTCCTCTGAAGATCCTGAACACCAGCTAGCACTATTAAAGCTAACATCTGATCCTTCTTAATCTTTTTCATTGCCACTGTACACTAAGAACTGTCATCTGTTTGCAACAACTAATCAGCAAGTGAAGATATTAAATCCTCATTGTCTCACCTCACTTTAGATATTAAAAAAAAAAAGGCAAGGAAAGGCAACTAAAGATAAATACAAATGAGCTTGATTTTTTTTTTTTTATAGGCAATGCTCTGTAACCACTGCTTCCAATGGTAGGCATTAGATAAGGTCATCTAAGACCAAGATAAGAGACCCATCACAACAAGGAGCTACTTACAGCCACTATTCTAAAGAGGCTTGACTATGACATCAACAGAGCTAGAAGACAAATCCAGTATTATAATTTTTCTATTATTGAAGCTTTGTGACACTTAAATCTTCCATAAAACATATATCAGAAAAAATGCTCAGGACTTCAACCTGAGAATCATGACACTTGCTTAGTGTCAATAAAAAAAAAAAACTGCTCACCCTGGTGGTTCAGAAAAGTACGAGACACACATGACTCAACTATTTAGTACTACATATGAAACTTTCAAATAAATAATCACTGTCTTGAATCTTTAATAGACTCCTTTTTAAACTTTATGCTCTAACAGTTATGAAAAAAGTACTCCCCCTCAACGCACTTCAGGTTTGTTAATCCTTTCATTTATTTAGTCATTCCATAGGGGAGGGGGACGTATCTTGTTCTTGGAAAGGTTTTCTGCTACAATAAAGTACCATGTTAACGTCTGTGAGTATCCATACTAAAAGTAATTTAGTGGTCCAACAAAGAAAAGCAATGTACCCCATTCCAACTAAAGAGAAAAAAGTTCCTTCACAAACTTATTCTATTAATATAAACACCACTAATTACAAACTACAACTCTTAAAAGTAAAATAAGGGGCCAGCCCGGTGGTGCAAGCGGTCAAGTGCACGTGCTCCGCTCCTAGGGTTCACTGGTTCAGATCCCAGGTGCGTACCGACGCACTGCTTGGCAAGCCATGCTGTGGTGGCGTCCCATATAAAGTGGAGGAAGATAGGCATGGATGTTAGCCCAGGGCCAGTCTTCCTCAGCAAAAACAGAGGAGGATTGGCAGATGTTAACACAGGGCTGATCTCCTCTCTCACACACACACACACACGCATACTCCTCTTTGTTTTGAAAAATTAATAAATTCTAACTTTGATAGATTTTTATTTCTTGGTGGGCGGGTGGGAGAAAAACATCACCTTACAAAAATAAGGTAAACCCTCTTTTGAGCCAAAAATGCTATGATGATTGCTTTGAAGCATCTTGACTTTCCTCTGGTGAGGAATGACAACATTTTGGGTTCAAAATCTGGGAGAGATCACATTAAGGGTCACTCCTTTACAGGAGACAGAACAGATATACATTCAAAAATGCACAGTGACTTCCTCTGCTTCCCAAAGCATCATTCAGAAAGGCTATCAATTCAAACCATCTTCTGGAATGCTCATGGACACTATTTTTTCCCCAGTAGTTAAGAACACTGAACCCCAAGTCAAAAAGCCTTTGGTCCACTTAGCCTTACCTTAAGTAAATCTCTTATCAGTTCTGTGCTTTGATTTGTTCCTTTAAAAAAATGACAAAAGTAATTCTTGCCTACCTACTCTCTTAGGATGGAAAAATTCTTTAAAAATCACATAAAATCCTTCATGCTTCTTAGAAATGGCTGCTATAAAACTCAAGGTGCTATACTATCACCTTTATCAAGTTTTACTGCTACTTGTGAATGAGGCCACGATACTGGCTTTAAAACACAAATCTTGTGGTCCCCTATCTGTAGTTACAATTTTTGATATAACTGTCCTGATAACTGGTCCCTCACACTCCAAAGATCTACTCTACTGATCCCTGGCCTGAAAATTTATTTAGTCCCTTCTCTCCCCCAAAAAACTGGGAGAAGGCACACCACTCCAGCTTCTCGTAGACATTATATTAGACATAACATCAATTTTTTTACTTGAGGAATACTATATAGTATGTAAAATAAGGCGACACTTCTTATGCTCTGTACTTTTTACTTCCCACAACACAAAACTTGTACGGTTACCTAGAAAAATCCCAAGGTTTCTGACAACAGATTTGTATCAATAACTCTCATAAAAATATCAGATCTAAGACACAGAGATCGAAACTTTGATCGAGTTTGCAAGAAATAACTCTGCACCCCTCCAGCCACTATTAGGTTTGGTATGGGCTATCCCCTCCTAGAGCCCTGCCATGGCTCTGAGGAAAAGTGGCCTGGGCCCAAAGCAGGCCGGGGCAGCTCTGGAGACGGATCAAGACCCTTCAGAGCGACGCCTGCACCCAACGTTGCATCTCTCATTTCAGACACACCCCCCTCCACCCCGCGTTTCATAGGCGGTGTGGGCGCTCAACTCCTTCACCGTGGACAGGGGGACCGAATGGGGGGCAGGCCCAGGCCTAGGCACCCATTTTGGAGACCCGGGGAGCTCGGCCCTGCAAGCTGTGGATTAGGGATGTGGGAGTGAAGGGCGCATCCGTGGGAGGGAAGGAGGCCGGAGGGGGGTCTCCTGCATTCGGGGACGTGAAGAGCGAGGCGGCGGGAAAGACTCGTGAGCGCGAGGTGTATCGGCGTGGGCTCCTTTTTTGTTACGTGTTTAGGGCTGGCAGGGTAAAGGGGAAGTCCCCTCGGGACACACTCGGCTCGGGTCCCCCCTTCCCCGCCCGGGGCACTGAGGACTCGCGGAGGCCTCCCTCCGGCGGGAAGGCAGGGGCTGAGGAGCGACGGGGCCGTGCGCGCCGGGCCGCCGGGCCCGGCACCTCCAGCCCCAGCGAGAGGCGTGCGCCGGGTGGGAAGGATGGACG